ACGTCTAAAGGATTGGAATAAGACGTGTCTCTCTCTACATCAAAAGGATTGGAATAAAACCAGAGGTGTTCACATCTTAATTTTACTATTGTTTCAACAACTCAAGAGGGCAGCTGCTGTACGCTCGCCCAATCCTCACCTTTACAATAGAGGCCCTAAAACCGAGTCTCAGGGTTCAGTCATTGAGCCCATTAATATCTAAACTCGTTATTTATCTTATTTCCCCCCGCCAGATCGCTTCTAACACGAATACTCCAGCAATACACAAAAAAAAAAATGTATTATCAGTCATACATCATGTGTTATACAATACACATCCCCATACTGTTTCATTTCTCTCTAGTTTGTGATTTAAAAAAGTGGTTTTTTTTATATATATACATTAGGGAGAGGGGAGGGGAGGGAGGAGGAGGGGGGAGGGAGTGGGGGGAGGGGAGGGGGGGAGGGGAGAGGGAAGGGCGAGTGGGGGAGGAGGGGAGGGGAGGGAGGGGGGGAGGGAGGGAGAGCCTCCAAAAAGTGAAGGTTGGAATTTTTTCATGTGGAACCTCAGAGAATTCTTTGTTTTGGAGGGATGTATGGTGTTTATAGTGGGGAGGGAGGGAGGGAAGGGGTAGGGGAGGGGAGGAGGAGGGATGTGAGTTATTGGTGTATGTGATGTGTTTGTGGTGGTTATGGTTATGGTGTTGGTAGTGGTGTGATGGTGGTGGTGGTGAAATTAGATGTTGTTGATATAATCTTGATGTGGTGGTAAACACACAACAAAAGGGAGAGATGTATGGAGAGGGATAGGGAGGGAGGAAGGAAGGAGAAGAGAGAAAATAGATAGAGGGTGGGAGAGAGGATCAAGAAGAGGGAGGAAGGGAGGGAGGGATGTAGGGAGGGATGGAGGACAAGTATGGGGGGTCACCAGTAAGACACAGGTCATGTACACCTAGGCAGAGGGCGGGTGACCTATTAGCAACACACGGCGTCCAACTCTCCTGGAGCAGACGATGCCTATGGTGGTCTCTGATAAGCTATGGGGGGGGGTCGATCAAACAGCTGATCCGCTCAAACAGCTGATCAATTAACAGCTGATCACTCGGGAGGGCTGGCAACAGGTAAAGTCTAAATGGTGGACTGGTTTTAATGATTCAATGTCAGTTTGTTTTAATTTTTATTCGTATTTGTAGTATTGTGCTTAGACTTTAATATTACTTAGCGTTTTTTAGATAAATTTTGCGTAGTTAAAAATTTCAAATCGTAGTATGACTTTTGTCTTTGTTGTTTACTTTACGAACCATCAATTGTTATGTCAGGTTATTATTTTACTGGATATGGGAACTTTCTGTAGATTTTTATTTTCACATTAATTTTAGTTTTGATATAAGGTATTCGAAGATCCGGTTATGAGGAAAAAATAAAAGATTCATTGTCTCATTTCAGTGAGATAACGAACCAGTAAAAGAAATCGAATCCTCACACTGACCGAACCCTTATACTCGAAGCAGCGAATCAGCTAGTCCAACGACCCCCATCTATATTTAGTATTTTGTGTACATGAAGACTTTGATCCTGCTCTAGATGAAATGGAAAAAAAAAAAGATTCGAACCAAGATACTGTGGTAAAGAGTTTGTCCTCCTCGCCCGTGCAGTGTTGGTCCTCTCTCATATCTGAGCTAAGGTGAGGGTCGAGGCAGTGTTGGTGAGACTTGAGAGGCTTCAGCCCATTAACACCTCCAGCGTGATCACCATGACAATACACACTATGACTCGTCAGATGAATAGATATTTGTTTTATTTATAACTTTTCGATGAATAAAATCGGGATAAATTTTTAGATATGTTGAGTTATATTCTGTTTGATATATGTAAGTTATCGAAAAGCTATACCCAGATTTTAATACAAAAATAAAAATATGGGTGTTGTTGTTCAATGACTTTGCACATATGAGTTCAGGTCTTCACTTGAGTACCGCCAGGTATACTTAACATCCCTATTTGAGTGCAACTTACACTTAAATTAACCCTTAACTACATAATAAACCCCTTAATTAAGTGCAACAATCACTTAAAATTACATTCCTTATTGAGAAAAATATATACATGAGGTCTGACCAGTGTTAAGTGATATGATTCACTTAAGAAATACTTTGAAAATAGAATGTTTTACATGTGGCAGTTGGCGAGGTGTAGGGCAGCCTCACAAGTGTCAACAAGAGGGCCGGCAGTGGTGAGGGGGCACGCCATACCACAGGACTCGCCGGGCTGGAACACGAGAGAGGAACTGGACTAAAGTTTCCTGAAGGCGACACAGCTTCTGGGGGAGGTTCTGTCCAGGCAGTGGTGGTACAGGAAATAGGGATCTGATGCTCTATGTCTTATTGAATAGAGCATCTGATGACTTCTTCTCCTTATACTCTGGGAGATAAAGGAGTTAACTATCCGAGTTATATTAGACACGCAATTTAATTCCATATATATTTCTCTATCGCTTGAGAACAATTTAAAATGAGAAAGAATATCGAATTGCTTTTACTATGAGTATTTCCGACTCGTTTACTTAGTATCATAGGAGATATAAGATCGAATTCTCTTTGCCAGTTAGAATAGACTACTGAATACTTTATACAGTCTAAAACAACACAATTAATACTGTATTCCGCATGAAGTAGAAGAACGAGGTCTTTATACAACATGGAATTGGATTTCCAATTCTCAAAATAACACGAGATTGAGGATCCAATTCACGTCATCACAGCGGAATGTTAGATTTAATCCCAGGGTTGTATCATATGCTAAAACGGTAAGCACATGTAATAGCTTTAGCAAGAGTCCAATCCTGCTACATCGACCTTCCTGTTGTGGTATTTGACACTAGTAACATCGGAATACTTGTACTGTTTGGTATAGAGGAGTTGATTATCTTCATTATGCAGGATAGAGGCTTTGAATGCCCTCTAGACCATCAGGATTTTGGATCTGACTCGAGCCATTAGCTGTGTGGCCTTGTGTCGTGTGCACGGGGAGGGGAGGACATAGCCACACATCCTGGCTCATGACTTGTGCGTCTAAAATCTTACGTATATTACCAGTTCTGGGTTATGTCTGGTATCGAGAGCAATGTCTTAAAAATGAGCGACGGTTCTCTTCTCTCTGGCTAAGAAATAACTAATGTGAAGTGGGGTAAAACACACCATTGGTACCTAAGACATGTATTATCGGTACGAAAGCCGGTACACATGTTACTTATGTACGCTAGTGTGTCGTACAGGCCTGCACACATGTACAGTAATATTATTCTGGTACACACACACACACACACACACACACACACACACACACACACACACACACACACACACACACACACACACACACACACACACACCTATGTAAGTTATCTCTGACTCAAGTCCAGCAGTATAAAGATTACTAACATGCAAATGCTGTCCAGAAAAAACCAAAAGCTGTTGTAGTATCTAACTCGCAACAGCAGTCATTCTACAGCAAAAAATCTGTCAATCGATCCCACGGCAGCTAAAGCCTCAAGGAAACACAAATTGTACTATTCTTTATCAAAATACAAAGCTTCCCTGCATGTACAGAAGTGTTCAGAGTGAGGGAGCAGTTATATATATATATACTGATGTACATACAAGTTACTGGGGTTTTTATACAAAGAACAGCTCCTCCAGTACGACACAGAGTCTTTACACCTTCAATGTACACTAACACATAAAGGTGATATTATATTCTCCCATTTGGATCATTATTTTCTTTTTCTACATTCCACTTACACTCATAAGCCTTGATGACGTCACTTCCGGCAGTGAGGCAGATGAAAGAAAGGAATGGAAAATGGCGACACTTGTCCACGGGAGAAGAAAACCCCTGATTACTGAGAATTAATGTGTTTTCTGCTTTATCCTTAATTTTAAGTAATTATAAAACTCAGCCCAACTTATGGACAGCAGCAGTGATTGGGAAGAGAGAGAAAAAAATATTAATATTATCAATAGTTTACCTGTGTAATTTACCATCAGTTGTTTATATTAGTTCACACCTGTACAAAATGTTGTGGTAAATCTTAATGGCGCCTACTGCTGCACACTGAGTAACCTTCTGGTGTTATTTATATATTAGTATTGCTAACATACACTGGATAACGAATTAAAAACATAATCTCTGTTGCCGGTATTATACGGGAGAGAGTGTGTATTGTAGGTATGTATGTGTGTATGATTTGGATGTTGTATTAATGTGTGTGTGTGTGTGTGTGTGTGTGTGTGTGTGTGTGTGTGTGTGTGTGTTACTATTAACCCTTAATTCTGAAATTATATCAAACTGCATCTTCTTCAAATAGATATGCACAATTATCCCTTAACACAGGAAGTTATTAAGTCATTCAATGATGACTTTCAAAACAAATGAATAACCAAAATGTAAACAAACAATGAAGATACAGGGGGCAGAAAATACAGCCTTATGTAATTAATAAAACTACTGTAATTGGCAAGGAGAATATTTTCTTATTTATATTGAATATTTTGGTTTTCCTAGTTAGGGAGACAAAGAGACCAAGAACATCCTGGAAATTAAAGTTCTGGAGCGATTCTTGGCAGTCAAAAATTCTGGGAAGGGAAATTATCTTTTTACTTAAAGTTTCTGGAAGACGTAATGCAAGGGAGGTGCTACGTTCTCCTGAGCCTTGGGGGATACATGGCCATCAAGACCTGAGATACATGGCCATCAAGACCTGAGATACATGGCCATCCAATTTTACAAAAGAAGTTACCCACAAGGAGACACTCTGAGGTTATTCCATTTCAGAATTAAGGGCCAAGACAGTTAAGTCGTTACCAAGGCTTGTTCTGTAGAGTGAGAATCAGTGATTGAGAATATCCTCGTAAAAATATAGTGATTTTTATAGTGACAACGAGGAAGGAAGTGTTGTGTGAACGAGTGGGGCGAGTGGGGGGGGGGGGGCGGTGGATGAGAGGAGAGTTAAAAGCTGCATCTGAGTCTTTACAAAACTGCAATTTACAAGACAAGTTTATTTAGGTTGTTCAATTCTCTGAACTAACTGAAACACTACGTCTGGTTTTTGTAATATTCTGCACTAACTCTTTTTAAAGCTGGAAACAGATTAGTCACTGCCTGTAAACTAACTTTGAACTAGAAATGGATTAGCATCTGTCTGGAGATAATGTATGAGTCTAGCTTTTAATCATTTATTACCTGATCTACCCTTAAAGTCTATATGGATTAATTACAAGAGTGATGCAAATTCCTAACGTAGTAACTAATATCTCAGTCTTTAATTCTCTTCCAGAAAAGTTTAAAGAGTGTAAAGGAAGCGACTGAGAACGAGATAAGTCCATAGAGACATCAGTAATGACTAGATTCAGCAACAATGTTGATTGAAACTGAAAATCTTGTTTACATGTAAAAAGATGAAACTCGATTAACCCTGATCATGTAACTATCTATGGATATATAATATATATAAGGCTCTTTATCACGTGCATGCTTACATCCCCAAGACAGCTTCGCCTCCTTGAGTTTATCTTTTCATGGAGTGAGAGGAAGCTTAAGTTGCCTCGCATCACAGAAAGACTCAAGAAGTTATTTAACAATATATCAAAGCCTTTTCCGAAAGAAAGATGAAAAATACATGGCGGAAAAAGAGTTTTTGAACCTATTCATGAGTCACTGCTGAGTAATGTCCTGTAACATGTCCTCGGGCACGTGAGTCCATTCGCGCCACATTTTATTCACCAAGATGACGACAAAAGTAATACTCTTGTGAGGGAATAATAAGACAGCACGGGCGTGGGTTATCACAAGGTGGGCAGGACCGCCCTCTAGCGTGGCTGCGGCCTTGGCGGCTCCCGGGCCACTGCGGCGCCGCAAGTTGGGTGGAGGACCACCAGTAGCGGGAAGACGGGGGCGGCGCCGCGGGTCCGGGGCTCTGGGCTCCCACAGCAGCACCTACAGGAGGATCTCTCTGTAGGGGCGCTGTCCAGGAGGCATCTCCCAGTGGACGGTGGGTGGTCGCAGGGGCGCTAGTGGGCGGGCTGGCTGCTATATGAGCGTCTCCTTCTGTAGATCGACTGTCTGCATCTCCTGTAAGCTCTTACCTTTGGTCTCAGGCACAAATATGAGCGTGAAGATAAGTGCAAGAGCTGCGACGCTGGAGTACAGCCAGAATGCTCCATATAGACCGAGCAAGAACTCAAGATCCACGAAGGTCTTCACGCTCACGAAGGAGCAGGCGTAGCTCACAGACGCTGCCACAGACCCAAGGCCTCGGTGTTTCAGTGGGAATAGTTCGCCGATATAGAGCCAGCTGATGGGCGAGACACCGAGGGCGAAGGCGATCTCGATGACGAGTATACAGAAGAGCGGAACCCAGTCTGAGTCCCGCCACTTCTGTCTGGCGAGCATGTTCTCGTTCTGGTCAAGACCCTTCAGGTACATGTAGCCTCCAAAGGCTGCCAGTGCCGCGGACATGAGCATGTTACTGAAGACGAGCAGCGGCCGACGCCCAACAGTGTCGATCAGTGCCGAGGACGCCATCCCAGCACAGATTTGCACGAAGGCTACCACGACTGCTGCGCGATAAGGGTTCAGGCCGACAAAAGTCTTGGCCAATATGGGCACTGCATAGAAGTTGAAGGCGTTGGCGCCGCTGAACTTCTGGAAGACCATGAGGCCGCAGGTGATGAAGAGCGGACGGAGGAGCTCACGGGGCGGTGTACGCTGCGGGCAGGAATCTGTGTCGCGGCGCAGAGTGGCGATGTTGGCCTTCATGGTAGTCAACTCTCGCGCCACGTCCGTTTCTGACCCACGCAGCCAGCGCAGCGCGTTAGCCGCCTCAGTGTCCCGACCTCGATACAGCAGGAAGCTGGGCGTTTCTGGGATGAAGAGTGCGGCGAGGAATAGGCAGACGGGCGCCACTGCTGTGACTGTGGCTAGTTCCCGCCAGTTGAGGAAAGCGCCTAAAAGATAGGAGAGCAGCATCCCAATGTTGCTGCTCATCTTGGCTAAGGCACACAAGCAGCCCCGGATCTCGGGGTGAGCGATCTCGCTGATGTAGACGGGCGTGACGACGGCGATGACGGCGGAGCAGACACCACCCATCAGTGCTGCAACATACAGCATGTTGACGTTCCACGCCACCACCGTCATCAGCCACGACAGGGCGAAGGGTATCGCCACACCACAAAGTACCCGCTTCCTCCCAAACTTGATGGCCATACCGCCCGGAACAGCTCCGAAGAAGGCGCCGAGGAGTGACAGTGAGGCGATCCACGAGCCCTGGTCCTCACTGATGGAGAAGTGGTGACCCTGGGCTGACAACATGGCCATGGAGGCGAGGGCGGGGGAGGAGTAGCCCTTACCCAGCCCGGCACACAGAGGCCCCAGCGACACAACCAGAGTGGCCAGCACCTGCAACACAAGACAACAATGAAACTATATGATGGACAAGCGTGGTGCAGTATTTAAATAACACATTATCTCACTCACACATGATCTCCCTTTCTCTCTCTCACACACACACCCTCTCTCTCTCTCTCTCTACAACTTATTATATCATGGTGGCAGAAAATCATGTCTTTTATAAAGTTACAACACGTGAAAAAACATAACGGCAACTTTTATCTTGTCGTCGATTTAAACTACAAAGGAAAATGACAATCTTCACGACCACCTCTTGTTTGTTTTCCCAGCGGGAGGAAAGACTCACACAAAGACTCGAGCTGACCTGTCTCGACCCCTCCCTCCTTCTCCCCTTTTATAGAATTTACAAGGCGAGATTTTTATCATTGGATTAAGCTCTTCTCCTCTATTACCCCTACTCCCTTCCCACTCCCACCCTTCCCCCTTTTCCCTCCCATCCACTTTCCCTTTCCTTTTTTCCCTTCCTACTTCCCATGTTTCCCTTTTCTGCCTCTTCTCCCCTTCCCTTTTCCTTCCTTCCCATAACCTTTCCCCTCCCCTCCCCCATCTCCTCCCCTCCCTCTTTCCCTTCCCCATTTTCCCTCCCATCTGGCCTTGACCTCCCATTCTGTGAGGTCAAGGCCAGATTAGGTCAGACCAGGTTAGGTCAGGTCAAGATTAGGTTAGTTTAGGTCAGTTTCTGTTAGGTCAAGGCCAGCTTAGGTTAGGTAAGGTCATGTCAAGCTCAATTAACACAGATTTAGTTCAGTTAGGTTCAGTCCCACGCACGTATTCCACTTTTCAGCAACTCCCCGACCACAAGAGTCACTGAACAAGCAGCTCATCTGAGGCTTACCTGTATACACCGGTAATTAACCACGCTAAAAAGACCATCGTTCTCCCAGTGAATAGAAACAGTTTGGTAGTTCATCGGCTTTATATCGGTGCTGAGAGACACGTGATTGGTTAGTTAGCCGTAATTCGAGTCGGCTTACATTAATACGAGGGATAAGAGAAGATATAAAAAAAACACATAACGAATAATTGAGAGGATAATTGGTAGAGATGATGGAGGTAAGAGAGGGATAGATAATGAATGATAAGTGAGAGAGATTAGAGTGAAATAGGGAGAGAGAGAGCTTGGGGGAATAGGGGATAAATAATAGGATGAGAAAAGATGTGGATAGGAATGAGGAATTGGAATAGGAAGGATTGTGAGATGGAATGATGGAGAATATTGCAAAATTATTGGGGGTTAGGTTAGGTTAGGGGTTGATTAGAAGGGACGAAGACAGGGAAGGAAGGATGGAGGGAAGAAAGAGGGGGTGGGAGGGAAGTAAATGAGGAAAGGGTGGTGGAAGTAAATGAGGGAGCGAAGGAAGGAAGTGAATGAGGGAAGAAAGAAGGGAGGGAGGGAGGGAGGGAGGGAGAGAAGGTGTAGGTCGTGTAATAAAGACTTTATTATCCTGCCACAGTTTACTGCCTCATGGCTCTGATGGGCTTCCTCCTCCTTCCCCCCTCTTCCTTCTTCCATCTACCTTGCTCCTCCCTCCTCCTTTTTCCGTTCTTTTTCCTCCTTCCTGCCTCCTCCCTCATCCTTCCTACTTCTTCCTCCCTCTTCCTTCTTCCATCTACCTTCCTCCTCCCTCCTCTTTTTTCCGTCCTTTTTCCTCATTCCTCCTTCCTCCCTCATCCGTCTCCCTTCCACACCTTTCCTCCTTCCTTCTTCAGGTTAGGTTAGATTAAGTTCCAGATCCGGGTATTATTGATCTCTGAAATCCCTAACCTAACCTAACCTAACCAAGTGGCGGTGGATCACAGGAAGATACATATTAAATTAAGTTTACAAATAATTTATTCGTCCACTTCCAATCCATTTTCCTCATCTCTATCCCCGTTCCTCCTTCCCTCCCCCTCCCCCCTCACCCCCCTCCTTACCTCCCCCTCCTTCCACTTCCTCCACCCGGCTCCGGAACTTCATGAATTAAATTCTATTCCCGCGCCAGACTTATAATAACTGTGCCAGATAGGCCTCAGTGCCCTCCCCCTCCCTCCTTCCCTCTCTCCCTCTCTTCCCCCTATCTCTCCTCTTCCCTTCCTCTTACCAATCCTTCCTCTTTCTCGTGTTCTCTCTCTTTCCTTCCCGTGTCAAAACTTTTCCCATTTCTCCTTTCCTGTGTTCCTCCCTCCACTTCCTGTCATCCATTTTTCCCCTTCCTCCTTACCATCTCTTCCCCAACCCCTTCCCTACTCTTCTTATCCCTTTCCCCCATATTATTCCTTTCTCCCTCTCTTCTCTCCCCTTACCTCCTTCTCCCCTCTCCAATAGGTTCATTCCGCACCCCAAAGTTGCCGCAGTGAGAATCTGCATCGTGAGGCAAACTTTAAGTCTTGTCGCGCCCGTGTTATGTTGATATTCTATCCGGGTTACTGACCTTACTACCGGCTTCAATATCTGACTAATCCAAAAAAACGTGGCTTTGATGTACGTCGCTTCTCTGATACATACTGTATATAAACAAACCCACCCTAACCTAACCAAATTAAATACAGTTTATATTCTAAACCTCACCCTTCGGCTCACTGAACATGTAGAATAGGACCAAAATGAGCCTTGTCCGCCCCGAAAGCCGGTTATATTGTACGTAAGCTGCGGCATATCCGGCCCTCTAGTAGGAATAAATTCACAGCTGGACCCAGATCTGTACTCACTTTCTCTTGATGCGACAAATATTTTCATAATAAATTATTTTGTGGACGAAATAATGACGTATATATGAGCCCCATTGGTGAACGGATGTAAAGCTTTGTATGTTATTTTATTGGGAATATATTTACTTAGTATATCTAGCTTGTGTGAAGAGAAAGAGAGAGAGAGAGAGAGAGGTACGGTGCAATTATTTTCCGCTCGTAAACATTAAATATTTCACCTTTAGAGCTCTTAAGACAGTTTGTAATATATATTTAATGAATATATTATATGATGAGGACCATAAAATACATATTAAGTAGTTCTGGGAGGAATGAACGAGGCATGTTTACCGTAACCTAAGTAGTTTCATGCTACTGGGTAGGTGGCGGCTGCCTGTGAAACTCTGCGGATATCTCCCGCCACATTTCATTTACTCTGGTTATTTACTCCATGTTCTTAATAGCACCGTTTTATTATTTATTATTATTATTAGTACTATTGTTATTTATTGTTATTCTTATTGTTAATATTATTATTGTTTTTATTATTGTTTATTGTTATTGTTATTATTATTAATATTATTATTAGTATTAGTATTAGTATTATTATTATTATTATTATTATTATTGTTATTATTATTATTATTATTATTGTTATTATTATTATTATTATTATTATTATTATTGTTATTATTATTGTTTATTATTATAATCATCATCACTATAATAATAATAACACAGAATGAAAACAACTATAAAAATATTAACATCAGCTTGACAATAAGCAAAAAATAATCACAATAATCATAATAATCACAATATTGTTTCCAAAGGTTTCATATTGACTTCATTACCATAATTATAGCCGACTTTATAATTAGTTATAACAAGTTAAATCTCAAAGGAATTTTCTTATGATTAAATTCTTTGGAGTTATATATTGTCTTATAGGAGCGTTTAACTTAATGTTTTTTTATATATTCGCTTATATATTTAGACACAAGGTACAGTCTGGGTGTGGACGTGATTCTGATGTTGACCTTTGATAGAATTCCACTGACGGCTCTTCCACTTTATTGCTATGCCACTACTGCTATCACTACATCTACCACCATCACTACTACCACCATTACTACTACCACCACTATCAGCACCGTTAACTCTACCACTTATTACTACCACCACTGTTATCACGACTACCATCACGACTTCTACCATAATTACATCTCCCACCACTATAATCACTACTACCACCATTACTACCCCCACGACTACCACCATTACTACCCCCACGACTACCACCACTACTACTTATATGTAATACTTGAATATGATTGATAATATCAAACATATACAGTGTGAAATTATAAATTACGGAGCACATGATATATAGTGGATATATTATTGAATTAATATATAATTTATTTATTTAGTGAGTGAATGAATAAAATTGGAGAGAAATTAATAGATAAAATTATTTGGATATTTATCAAAACAACTCTAAGTATTGTGTGTGTGTGTGTGTGACTCACCTGTGTACAGTGCTGAGGCGCCGGGGGTGTGACGTACACAAACTTGGCCGCTGCGGACCTCTTGCTAGGCTTACGACTCATCTCGCTGGTGGTGGAGGTGGTCGCTTGTAGCTCCGAGTCCTGATAGGCGTGGGGGGTGGCGGAGTTCACCTGCTGATCAAGGTAGTGTGGGGACCTGGCCGACCTGATCACCTGCGTTGGGTGGTAGGTGGCGCGTGCAGGTGGGGTCACCTGCACTGGGTGGTAGGTGACTTGGGAGGCCGTCTGGTAGGTGACATTGGCCTCCAGGGGGTATCTGGCTAGACTGGGCGTGATTCCCGGTGTTTAGAGGCGCGTCAGAACGATTGGCGTCGCTCTGCCTGGCCTGAAGACGAATGGAGGTGTTGTGGTGGAGTTCGACGCGCATACAGAGCACACGTACGGCTTTGGGGCACGTACAGCTGGGGGATTCGTACGGCTGGGGACACGTACGGATGGGGACACGTACGGCTGGGGTGGGAGGGACCCGTACGACGGTCAGTGTTTCATTCACGTACAAGTGACACGGCAAGGCTGAGAAGGGACTCGAGCCCGTTCAGCTCGTGTTAGTCCTCGAGCAGACACTGTTGTGCTGTACTGTACAGGAGTGATCGTCACGGTGATAAGTGACCACAAGTCTTTTGGGTTAAATGTGGGATTTCTGAGTTTACGCTGAGTGAGACGATGAAACACTTGCTTCAATCTCTCTCGTTTTCCTTGGAATTTCAGAGCTACGGGGGAAACAGGGCCGACGGCTCGTGTAAACTATCAGCGTTACACGGTGAGAGCAACGCTATGTTTACTCCGGGTCGCGTTTCCATTCACTCTGTCGATATCAAAGTCAGACATTGCAGTTTGATGGACACAAGTCTTACAGTTCGTTTGTTTGTTCGGTGGTGCCGAGCTACTGTGCTATTCAGGTAACACTGGAGACTCACAGGCAACTCTGGAGACTCACAGGTATCTCTGGAGACTCACAGGTATCTCTGGAGACTCACAGGTAACTCTGGAGACTCACAGGTAACTCTGGAGACTCACAGGTATCTCTGGAGACTCACAGGTATCTCTGGAGACTCACAGGTATCTCTGGAGACTCACAGGTAACTCTGGAGACTCACAGGTATCTCTGGAGACTCACAGGTAACTCTGGAGACTCACAGATATCTCTGGAGACTCACAGATATCTCTGGAGACTGACAGGTATCTCTGGAGACTCACAGGTATCTCTAGAGACTCACAGGTAACTCTGGAAACTCACAGGTATCTCTGGAGACTCACAGATATCTCTGGAGACTCACAGATATCTCTGGAGACTGACAGGTATCTCTGGAGACTCACAGGTATCTCTAGAGACTCACAGGTAACTCTGGAAACTCACAGGTATCTCTGGAGACTCACAGGTATCTTTGGAGACTCACAGGTATCTCTGGAGACTCACAGGTATCTCTGGAGATTCACAGGGACCTATAAGGGGGTGAACCAATGACAAGAAAGTTCAGTTTGTTTCTTATGTAGCACCGGTAGTAGCAGTTGATTTCTAAGTAGCAGGATAGTGGCTCAAAGCTTGTGGGAGTCTGCTACAGATGGCAGAGCTCCCCAGGTGGCTCAACTGGCGACCTTCTAAGTCAGCCAGCTGGTTCGGGCGTTAAGAAGTCGACAGACAGGTGAGTTGGTCGTCTGGTGATCTGTGAGGGAGAAGAGGGTGAAAATTAGCATCATTATCAAAGTTACTATTATTATTATTATTATTATTATTATTATTATTATTATTATTATTATTGTAGTGGGGGTTGTTGTAGTGTTAGTAGTAGTGGTAAGGTGGTAGTAGTGATATTGGGAGATGCAGTATGGTGGTAGTTCGTGGTGATAGCAGTAGTGATAGTAGTAGTAGTAGTGGTAGTAGTAATGGTGGTAGTAGTGGTGGTAGAGGCAGTATGGTGGGACAGAAGAAGACAGTGTGGGGAAACGAAGTAATTTCCTTGTGTCATTTTTTGAGCATGAGGATAACAATGATCCTCTCTCTCTTGATAATAATAACACGTTTAAATAGATGGCTTTTATAGCACGTAACTAGAGCACAATAACACACGGTTATGTAATAGAGATCCTGTATAGAATATATATATTAAATCATATACCACAGTTGTATAGTCGAGGAATATAACCCATACTAAAACATACACAGAGACATAGAGAAATGCTATTAATGTGGAGACTTAAATTTCAACCCAAATATACAATACAATAATGATACGGTATTCATACATAAATACACAAGGAATGAAGGATGTAAATGTATGTAGATTAATACACAGAAATATACATAAATCAATGGATAATATACATTGATCGATACACCAGAGACTCGCAGACAGACATACATTACGGAACATATGCTAAATATCCCCCAAAATGAGAGGATGCGGGCGTAAGCAGCATCAACCCTGTAGGAAGGAAGATGTGTCCTAACGAATCACATCATCTCCCGTACTATATCAAGAAAGAGCTATCCCACAGTAACCAAAGTGAGGACCTACATCACCCTTATGCCAGAGTACCTCAAGGTCTAATGTCCTGCAGCGGGTTAGGCTCACATGCCAGTCCTGGTGGCACGGAAGGACGGGATTCCGGACTCAGTGATTCAGTAAGTATATTTAATTTTGCTATACCGGTTTACTGAGGCATTTTTTTGTTAAGCCTTGCCAATGGTTGTGTAAATATCTATCTATCTAGTTTCCTATTTTATATTTTATGAGTTTTATGTAATTTATATTTTTCTTTGTTTATTTAGGAAGATTTTATATATATTTTGTTGTTGTTAAGTAAATTGTATTTGTTATTCTCGTATGTTTGTTATTATAGTACAAAAATAAGTTTATGTGATAATATTTTAAAAATAGGAATATTTCAGAGGATTACAGAGGGACATTTTAATACGTGCTTCTTGTGACTTAATCGATGATGTCATTATCTGGATTATCTGTGATGTAAATATAATCTGGATTTAGTCACGTGATGTCTGGGGATTAGTGTCCATTTTATGTGATTTTTTAGCCTGTGTGTGTGTGTGTGTGTGTGTGTGTGTGTGTGTGAATTTGTAAAAAATTATCAATAATTAAAGACTTACACAAAAGCCAATCGGGGGCTCGATACAATACCTCATGGCCGGCCAATCAGGTTCCTGGAACCCATGTGACGTCACCCCTTCCCCCTGGAATTGATTGGTTATTGTCCCGGCATCTCCCATTCATAACAACTTGGTACACTCATCTCCTGGATTTATCCCCCAATGAGAACAGTTCTTTATCGTGACAGAGCACCCTATTGGCCAATGAGACCACCAGCTGACTCTCAAGAGGGCCTTCCAGTGAGTACAAGGATGGCTTAGACCTGTTCTACGTTGCATAATTAATGAGGAAGATGTCTCAGCCATATTGGTTATCTACCGTCACGAAAGACTAGACATTTATATGCCAACCTGGATGTCTAAATGTCTTGTCCCTTCTCCGTGTTGTTAATAAGGATTTGGGTTGTTGTTATTCTTGTTATTGTTAATGTTGTTGCTGTTGCTACTGTTATTGTTATTGTAATTGTCAGGTATTATTATTATTATTATTATTATTATTATTATTATTTACAATATTACTCTACAATTCTCTCCCCTCCCCACAACCTTCCATGCCCTTCCCACATCCCTCCTCTCTTTCATCACATATCCCCTCCCCTTACATTGTTATCTACGTCCCCCCCACCCCCTACCTGTCCTGGGAATAAAACACTCTCCCCCTCCATCAACACAATAGTTCTCCCTCATGATATCAGTGGACACTGTTCATCCTGGGTATATATACAAAACTCCATTTATGATATTTTAGGGTGAATTTTATAATCATTAATATTTGTCAATTAATTTTCAATACAACATTTCTATTTTAATGTCAATTGATATAATAATTTAGTTCATTATAATTAAAGTGAGTTATTTCACTTAATATATATTTCTGTACATAAATTCACTATATAATTTTTAATAGACAAGTTTATTCGGTTATTTGAGGAATCGTATTTTTCACGTCGTTTTCAATTTACGTCGTACGTCAATTTTTTTTCCCCGCCACTCGCTGAAATTGGTTCTGATACGTCGGGAAACTCCAGCGTGTGTACAGTCGTTGTTGTTACGGTACAAGTGAATAAACCACAAGTGAATTATTAATTTCCTGTTACTAAAAGAATGAATGATGGGAAGTTAGAAATTAAAAAAAACAAAAGTACGCATATATGTTTAGTATGTAAAGTTTGTCCGTGAGTTTGCCCAAAAACGGACAAGTACATAAGTTAGCCATGGAAGATACGTACATAAGTTTACTGCATTAGGTAGGTGTATATAACTTTGGTATAAAACGTACATGTATAGTTTAGTCATGCAAGACACGTACGTACATGGGAAGTCGCACATAGTCATGGGGAAACGTACATAGTCTCAGTCTCTCTCTCTCTCTCTCTCTCAATATCTCTCACTTTCTTTCTTTCTCTTATGTTTATGAGTCTAAATCTCTCTACATTTCTCCCCTGTGCTTCTCCCTCCTCTCTCGTCGCAGCAGGTGAGAGAAGGACACAGGAGGTAGGAGTGAGGACAAAACCCGGGTCTTAGACAACTCCTACTGAAGGATCTTTTAAAAGGATCTCCGTGTAAATGACTGGCCTGCTGTTGTTGCTCCCACGTTCCCTCCATCACTCCTTTCTCCATCACTCCCCAACACTTCCCTCCCTCACTCCCACACACCTTCCCTCCCTCACTCCTTCACACTTCCCTCCCTCACTCCTTCACACCTTCCCTCCCTCACTCCTTCACACCTTTCCTCCCTCACTCCTTCACACCTTTCCTCCCTCACTCCCTCACACCCACCAATGGTTGAAGACTTTTACTGTAAATAATGAAAACAGATTTACAGAATATCTCAGTTTTTTATTTTAACTTCTCTTTATTTTTCCATTTCCTTCTCTCCCTTCTACTCCTTCTCTAATCTATTCTTCCTCTTCCATCTCTCCCTCCTCCTCCTCTTTACCCCAACAGCTCTCAACCCCCACCACCTGGACAGTGACGGTCAGTGCCTGGTGTTGCACTGCTCCAACCTGGCACTAATTGCATTCCTGAGTGCCACTGCCGAGCCCAAGGGGGGATGGGAGGGGAAGGAGAAGGGGAGAGGGGGGTAAAAGACAGGTGGAAGAGAGAGGCGGGGAAGAGGGAAGGGGGATGAAGGGTGAAGATGAACAGTGAGGGAAAGGGAAAGAGAGGGAGAGGAAGTAAAAGAGGAGGGAGAGAGAAGCGGAAGATGAGAGAGGGAGGGTTAATGAGAGGAGAGACAAAAGAGGAAGCGGAGTAGAGTGGGTGGGAGAGAGATAAGGTCGAGAGAGAGAAGTAGAAAGGGATAAAGAGAGTAGAGGAAGAGGGAAAGGAATAGGAAGAGAGGGATGGGTAGGGAGAGGCAAGGGACGAATGGGAGGGAAAGGTATAGGAGAAAGAGAGGAAAGGGAGGAAAAAGGAAAAAGAGAGAGACGGAGGAAAATTTAGGAAGGGGAGGAAGAGGCTGGGTAGGAAATGGTGCCCTAGAATACTCCCTCCCCCCTCCCCCTCCTCCTCCCCCCCTCCCCAAAAGACCCCTTCCTTCCCCCTGCTCCACTTAATCCTACCCCAACCCATAAGTGAGGACCTGGCGATAATTAAGGAGCGGTCGAGAGAATAAGTTCAGTGTAGCGACGACACTAAACCTGTTATCTGAGAACTCATGCATGGTAGTAGTGAGTGTGTGTGTGTGTGTGTGTGTGTGAGAGAGAGACAGAAAGACACACACACACACACACACACACACACACAGATATAAGTGACTCACCTCTTCACCCGCTACTTCCTTCCCCCTCTCATTTTTCCCTCTCATATCACCCTCTCCTTCCCTCCTCCCCCCCCTCTCCTCTTTACTCCTCCTTTACACTTGTCCGGCGGGGGAAAGAGAACCATTGTGTGGCTTGATAAAGACATTGTCTGCCACCTCAGTGCTCAGTGGGGGAAGTGGAGTCACTCGCAAGATCACGCCAGCAGTCTTGCCGTGTGTGTGTGTGTGTGTGTGTGTGTGTGTGTGTGTGTGTGTGTGTGTGTGTGTGTGTGTGTGTGTGTGCTACTGTATCTCTGTTGTTTTTCTTCCCCCCTCTATCTCTGTCTGTCTGTCAGTAAGGAACACTTAATTTATCCTAAACAAAAATATCTAATATTATTCTCAACTTACCTTAATTGGCTCTGAGGTTACAGGTATAATTAACACGCATTTCTGTGCTTCATTAATTAAGGTCTTTAAGCACGTGCCTTAATTACCACTATAAACTAGACAACAACTATTAGTCATTAAGGAATGTAATTGTTTCCTGGAAGTACTAATGATAGAGGATTTATATTATTTACTATAATTTAATGTTCTCGGAATTCGTATGTATATGGTGTGTACAAGAGTTTATACATATACATGTATACCTTCTGTTAGATGATTAATACAAAGTCATGGATATACATACCTACATACATATACGTACATGTAGGTTAAACTGTAGTAAGGTAAGGTAAGGTAAGGTAAGGTAAGGTAAGGTAAGGTAAGGTAAGGTAAGGTAAGGTAAGGTAAGGTAAGGTATCAGTATA